AAAAAAAAAAAACTTTAAAAAAATAGCTTATAATTCCAGTATTGATAGCAGTGAGGTTTTTCATTAAAGAATGTTAACTTTTTTAACTTTCCCTTTTTATTTGCTTCTAGAAAATGACTCTGGCCAGGCCTATGTTGCTGGTGTTTTTCTCACTTCCTTAACTACTACTTTATTGATAATGGATATTTTTCCCATTGCTTTTTAAAGAGTGTGTAAGGAGGGAGAGAAACATTGACGTGAAGAGACATCGATTGGTTGCACCCTCCCAACTAGGGCTGGGGATTGAACCTGCAACCCAGGTACACACCCTTGACCAGGAATCAAACCCAAGTCTAACTACTTAACTTACACCGGCCAGGGCCCCTCACTGCTACTATTAAATGCAACTGACTATATGAAACATCTGAATTATCAGCCCTTCTGGAATCAATTATTCAAATTGATCAAGAGAAGTTTCACTTAGGGTCAGGCTGAGAGCCGCATCCAGTCCTACTTGCTGCTCCTGCCAGTCCCCATCAACAGCCTTGGACAAGCAGCCTGTCAGTGAGCACCATTTCCGTCTAACTTCTCCCATGACGAACTGCCCCTCCCCACTATCTTTGGTCGCTGTGTCTTCCTTCTGCTTTATCCAGCATATAGCACATGTCTGCAGGGGAGGGATCCACACCAACCTTCATCCGGCTCACTCCCCATTCCTCTTCTTTTCCTAGCCAGACACTGAATCAAGTGCTTTAGTGCATTATTACATTTCATGGTCATAGGCCTCTGAGGAAGGTCCCACTGGCCTCATGCTGCAGGTGACACTGAGGCTTACAACTGGTCAATAGTGAAGATTTGACTCTGCCAACTCTTGACCACTCTGGTGCTGCCTGCTTCTCAGTAAGCCATCAAGGAATCACCACAGGGGTGACTGCATTATCTTACAAAAGCTGACATCTTATACTGCACTTCTTGTGGGTAAATATAAATCCACTTCTCCCTTCAGGAAGCACAGACCTAGTTCTCCAGATGAGGAAACTAGTACTAGCAATTGTACAACCTAGTGAGAGGCCACTGGAACCAGAACCTGTGTCCAACCCCCAGGCTCAAAAGAAACCCCTTATACACAGCCAACACTGGTGCCCAAGTTCCTTTCTCTTTCAATTCTAATCTTACCTATTCAAGGTTTGTAGAGAAAGCCAGTGTTCTGGTAGGAGTAGAGTACAGATAGGGCTGGTCCCACACCCATGTGTGGCAATTAAAGTCAGGAATATATCCGCTTTAGAGGTCCCCCTGAGGAGCAAGGGGTCCCCAGCCACACGCCAGGAGCCCAGCCCAAAGTTCCAATGCTGGGAAAAGAAGTCTCTGTAACTTCTGGTTGTGAACACCAGCGGGGATTTTGGCTGCGTGAGATAGAGGGCTGCTGGAGTCACAGGCATTCCTCTTAAATGGCCCATACACACTGACTAACTAGGGACTCACTTTCGTTGAGCTGTAGCAGAGGCCACTGTTCCTTTGCTGAACCCTCCCCCACACAACCAACAGGTTGGCACCACATCGGAGTCTCCATCAACCTGGCTAACAGGACCTAACTGATGGAAAACTTCCCTAACCTGGTGAAAGAAATAGACATACAAGTCCAGAAAGTGGAGAGTTCCAAACAAGATGAACCCAAAGAACCTTATACCAAGACATGTCATAATTTGCAAAGATTAAAGACAAAGAAAATCTTAATTTCCTAGGCAAGAAAAAGCTAGAGTTCATCACCACTAAACCAGTATTATAAGAAATGTTAAAGTCCTGGCCAGTGTGGTTCAGTTGGTTGGGTGTCATCCCGTTCACAAGGTTGCAGATTCAATTTCTGATAGGGGACATGCCTGGGTTGGGAGCATGCAGGAGACAGCCTACCAATGTTCCCACTCTCGTCCCCTCTAAAAATCAATTTAAAAAGGTTAAAGGGTCTTCTTTAAGAAAATAAAGACCAAAAGTACAAATCAAGGCCCTGGCCAAGCACCCCAATTGGTTAGAGCAGTGGTCGGCAAACTGCGGCTTGCAAGCCACATGCGGCTCTTTGGCCCCTTGAGTGCGGGTGCGCACGTACAGTGCGATTGAAACTTCGTGGCAGAAGTCAATTTTCGACCTCAGCAAACGTACCTCAATCAGATCGAGGGTGTTTTTAGCAAAGGCCAGCTTAGGAGTACCCTAATTAAGTTAATAACAATGTACCTACCTGTATAGTTTGAGTTTAAAAAATTTGGCTCTCAAAAGAAATTTCAATCGTACTGTTGATATTTGGCTCTGTTGACTAATGAGTTTGCAGACCACTGGGTTAGAGCATCATCCCAATAACGCCAAGGTTGTGGGTTCAACACCCCCAATCAGGGCACATACCAGAATCTGTCACTTCCTCTCAAAAAATCAATTGATTAAAAAAAAGCTATTATATAATATATAAATCAATTGGCAATAAATACACACCAACAATTACTTTAAATACAAATGGATTAAATGCTCCAATCAAAAGACATAGGGTGGCTAAATGGATAAGAAAACAAGACCCTTAAACATACTGTCTACAAGACACTCACTTCAGATCCAAAGACAGAGTGAAAGTAGAATGAAAAGATTATCTCATGAAAATGGAAAGAAAAAAGTTGGGATAGCAATACTTATACCAGACAAAATAGACTTTAATTAAGGCTGTAATAAGACACAAAGAATTCCACTTCTGGGTATTTACCTGAAGAAACCCACAACAGTAATTTGAAAAGATATATACAACCATATGTTCATTGTTGCCTTTATAATAGCCAAGACATGGAAGCAACCTAAGTGCTCATCAATAGACAAATGGAAAAAGTGGTGCCTACATACAGTGGAATGACTCAGTCATAAAAAAGAATGCAATCTTGCCATCTGCAACATGGATGGACCCAGAGTGTATTGTGCTGAGTGGAATAAGCCAGAGAAAGTCAAATGGCATGATTTTAAGTGTCGAATCTAAAAAACTAATGACCAAAACATACACTCAGGAAACATTTTAATGGTTGCCAGATGGGATGGGAGGTTGGGTGAAGAAATTAAGTATAAATTGGTAGATACAAAATAGTCATGGGGAGGCCCTAACCAGTTTACTCAGTGGATAGAGCATCGGCCCTTGGACTGAAGGGTCTCAGGTTTGATTCTGGTCAAGGGCATGTACCTTGGTTGCGGGATTGATTCCTAGTAGGGGGTGTGCAGGAGACAGCTGATCGATTCTCACTCATTGATGTTTCTAACTCTCTCTCTCCCTTCCTCTCTGTAAAATGTTAAAACCAAAAAGACAAAATATTCATGGGGGACCCTGGGCAGGCAGGTCAGTTGGTTAGAGCATTGTCCTAATACACCAAGGTTGTGGGTTTGTTCCCTAGTGAGGGTACATACAAAAACCAACCAATGAATGCATAAATTAAGTGGAACAAATCAATGTTTCCCTAATAAAATAAACCTTTAAAAAAGTCATGGGATTGTAAAGTGCAGCATAAGGGATGTTCTAATAACTATGTAGTGTCAGAGGGGACTAGATTAAGGTGATCACTTGGTAAATTATATAAATATGTAATCACTATGTTGTACACCTGAAACTAATATATTGTATATATCAACTGTAACTGAAAAATAAAAAAAATAACTCTTTAATAGGATAAATTTGAGTAAAGAATTGCTTCAAAATTTTGTCCTATTAAAAAATAATACATTATTTTTTTTAAAAAATCATTAAAGTTTTTAATATTAGTGCTATTTTACATTTTTGCAGATCTCTTTAATATTTGCCTTAACAGTAGACAACTAAATTCTCTTATTTAATCTTGCAGTCTGTTGTGATGTCATGTAGCCTCAAAACTGCTGAGATACATCATTATATACTGTTTAAAAGTCAAGTTCAAGCCAAAACCAGTTTGGCTCAGTGGATGGAGCAACGGCTTGCGGACTGAAAGGTCCCAGGTTCGATTCCGGTCAAGGGCATGTACCTGGGTTGCGGGCACATCCCCAGTGGGAGATGTGCAGGAGGCAGCTGATCAATGTTTCTCTCTCATTGATGTTTCTAACTCTCTATCTCTCTCCCTTCCTCTCTGTAAAAAATCAATAAAATATATTAAAAAAAAAGGTCAAGTTCAAATTAAGAGAAACCACATGCCAGTAATTTAAACAAGAAAAACAAAAAGAACTCTAAGGTGTGATGGGATAGTATCTGCTGAAATTAGCTGCTACCTCTGGACCTGAAGGAAGTGAATGAGCCCTTCTTCCAGCTGAGATTCAGACCCGAAGAACCCCCCTTTCCCTCGCTGCAGTTCCACCCTAATTCCAAAGCTATGAGGACACTTGCTACTTCCCACCTTCTCCAGACATTTGACATGGCCCACATAATGGCCTATTATTAGCCATTTGCATATTATTAGACAAATCCAACTGATTAATCCCAAGTGCTTAGAATAGTGCACAGCACATAAATATCCAATAAATTTTATTTCTTTAGTGTCAAAATATTTTTTTTCAACCATTTAAAATTGCAGAAATCTAGTTCATAAGCCATACAAAATCAGGCAGCAGACCAGTTTGTCAACCTCTGGTTCAGATGATTCCTACTTGTCTTGAGGAAGAGCATATAAAGATGCAGTTCATTTTAAAAAGGATGTGCTACCCTCAGGCACGAGGATAAAAAAATATGCTCTCCTCGTAACAGAAAGTATAAAAGCCACTAGCCACATGGAGCTATTTAATTACAATAAAAATTTAGCTGTGTACAGGCTCTCGGTTGGAGTGTCGTCCCATGCACCAAAAGGTTGCGAGTTCAATTCCCCATCAGGGCGTGTACAGGAAGCAACTGATTGATGTTTCTCCTTAAAATCAATAAAAACATATTCCTGGGTGAGGATTAATAACAAAAATTTAAAAATCCATTTCTTATTCACATAAGCCATACTGAAGTACTTAGTAGCCAGAGAACACTTGTGTCATCCAATACAAACCAGAATACAACAGCAGTTTAAAAGAGCTCACATTTATTACTGAATCAACCTTCTATTTCAGGAGGAAAAAAATCAACAGAGCAAAATCACAAGTTCATTAATCTTCCAATTAAAATGCCCCAACTGTCCAGACAGTAGCATCTTTTCAATCATTTAAGGGTGTAGGCAACCTGGATACAGCATAAATATGTGAGTCATCTCTCATGTGTGATTTCTCATAGGCCCAGTTTGGTTCTTCTCCAATGTCTCCTCTTCGAGTTGTACCTACACAGAAGGAAATTCCAAGTTACAAAAACAGTTTGACCTCAATTTAGCTGCTCTCATTCACCACAAACTTTGCCTTTTCATGTACCACAATATCCTTGAAAGGTAAAGGGTCCAGGCTTTTCTTTCCGTTCACAAGTTTGGAGCTCTTTTTGGAGAGTAAAAAATGATTTGCTAGATGTTTAAGAACTAGTCAAATCAAATTTTTACCTCTCAAAATGATTCCAGGGTATGAAGACACTGGTTCTTATGTGGTACTGAAGCAGTGGGGAAGCTCTCCCTTCCCCAAGTGTACGCTCACCCAACTTTGATTCAACTGACCTGAGGTAGACTTAGAGACATGTATATTTTGAAATACATCAAAAACAGTCATTCCTACACAATGGGTCACACACACACACACACACAGTTCCTGCATAATTTTTACAATATATCAACACTCTCTCTCACTTTAATAGTAAAAAAAGTGATTTGCAGAGCTAAAGCCATCTCTGAACTGTCCATGTAAGCCTGTCATGATTTTACCCTCATAAAGGCAAAATCAAAATGACCAACACAAGATTTTCTTTCAGCAGGATAATGGCAGTACTTCCACAAAATGAAGCACTGTAATTGCAACCTGCTTTCAATACACTAAGTCTGAAGACAGCTGAGTCGATAGAAAAATAATTCTACTGTGCCAATTCTCTGGACCAAAAGTGTGCAATGATAAATATAAAATACTTCCCCAGCTCTAGGAGTTCACAGAGCAAGACGCTAATATTGATAACCGCAGGCACCAAGCTTCACATACATTTCTTCAATCCTTACAACCCAAAAGCAGGTCCCACCACCATTAGAGAAACTGATGTTCATGTAGCTATGTCAAAAAAAGGGGGGGGGGGGTGCTTTACTATGAATGCCTGATGTTCTCAACAGAAATCCATCAAACTTGTAGAAGGGCTGAGCTGCCAAACAAACCACTTCACCAAGTGCCTCAATGCTCTTTTCTCAGTACTGTATGATGGCAACGCCATGTGCTTTAAATTCTAGTTGCACCTGTAACAATGAGATATCCCCCATACACATTAATATGCATAAATAATAAAGACTACCGTTTATTACCCAATATACCAAAAGCAGCAAAGTGGTGGCATGTAAGGCTATAGAGGGTGGCGATTTTCACATGGTGCTGTTAAACACACCGCGCTGTCATTGGCAGTGAGCCTTTGGGTAAATCTCATTGATTTTTCTTCCCCTTCCAGACCTATCTCCAAAAACAAAACAAACAAACACAACAAACAAATAAAAAAACACCTATCTCAAGGTCCACTGGGTCTCCAAAAAGCAGTGGGGTTGAAAGGCATGCAGGAGTTTTATGGCCTGTTTTGCCAGGAATTGGCCTAGATGACCTGGGATTGGAAGTACTTTGTAATAATTCTAATAATGTCTATTCTTCCAAAGCCACCAATTCAACTACTTCTGCAGTGGAGGACAATATTCCAATCTTTAAAAAAAAAAAAAAAAAAGATAAACACTTCAAAGATGGATTAGGGAAGCATCATGGTCTTCCCTGCTGGGCTGTGCAATGACATAGCCTCCAATATTATGTTCTGGTCCAGTATGAAGACAACCAGGAAATTAACAAATATTGGAGGAGTGTCTACTAAGCCCAGCTGTGGGCTGGGTCATGTCCAGAAATCCAGGGGAAGTACATTAAAAAATTTCAGAGTGGTGGCACAGAATAAATTGGATTGCATACAACTTTTAATTACTTATGACCCCAAAGCAATCTTAAATTAAAAACAAAAACATAGGAGGGTAGTGTCCTTACCTGATTTTATTACCAGTTTTCATCCGAATCCATTGGGGAATGGGCCGATTCTGCTTTTGTTTCTTGGCCAGGAACCTCTTGATCCTGAAAGTCTTGTGGGAAGACTGGGAAGGATATGCAATCAACTTAGAAATATCAGAACTTGCTCAAAATATTCAAAGTCAAGAACTTCCTCAATCCAACAAACATCTAAATGCTCAATATATACCAAAAGCAACCCCCTAAACTCCAAAACCATCATGCCCTTTGTTTCGTTTCTCGTAACTTCTCTGCAGGCAGGGACCTTAATTCCCATTGTTAAAAAGTCAGGAGGTATGTAACCTGCCCCCAAAGGAAGCATATTAATGTGCAAAGATGGGAGTCAAACCCTGATCCTTTCTGTTGAGTCTAGGGCACCCCAAGTCTTCTGGAGGAGGACCACATCAGGGACGGTGAGAGCTGAGGAACTAGGTTTTCAGGAAAGAACACAGCTTTTAGTAAACTAAATGTGTAACTTGCAAGTCTGTCTCAGTACCCTTCTTTGTAAAACAGGAGTATCCCCTCATTCAAGGCTCATTACAAGAGTAAGGAGGATTTACACAACGTTCCCCACATTCAGTAGATCTACTGTAACCCGCTGATCATTTTGATATTAATTCTAACTCTACTTAAAAATGCAACTTTTCCAAGGATGATTATCCCCACTTCCCTTTGCAGCTTTTGGCTTTCATGAAGTACTCGGGTCACCTAACCCCAACCGATGTCCCGGACCCGCCCCGTTTGCAGGACACCCTGGAGGAATAGCATGAACGCTCCTCTAAAGTCTGGCGCTTGTGGCCCAACACACCTTTGCATATTAGGGGCCATTTTAAAAAAGGCAAAGACTACACCCATCTCCCAGTTCTCAGTAGTTGTAAATTAAATTTTCCGTCAACCATTAAAACTATAAAACACCAAATACGGATCTTCTCCATACCCAGAAGCCTATGCTCAATTTAAACTTCTCAGGGAACCGTCACAGGAAAAACCCAGTGACTGTCCGCAGTGGGCATCTTACGAAGAATGCCCAAATGGCAGAGGTTCGTATCACAGCGTCCTTGCTCCAGGAGCTTCCATAGGGTAAAGCTCAAGTCCCTGGAATGACTAAAAAACTCCTGGAAGCTCAAAATGTGGTAGGCTCCTGGCCGCCAACTTAAAAAACTTTACGAAAACCAGCAGCCCCATTCTATTCTCGATGCCAGGTCCGTGTCGTAGGCAGCCAGCAGTTGGGCCACGATTGCCGCGTCCCCCCTCCCCCCACAACTTCTCTGCCCCAGAATCAGTTCGCTCGGGCGACGGGAAGCGGAACCCGCTCGAGGCGGCGGCCTGGCGCACAGGGCACCCCAGTCAGACCTCGCAGCGCCAGGCAGCCCGCCCCTCCCCAAGGGCTAGATTGCTTACTAGTTTCCCGCCAGGCCCGCCGACTGGAGCAGGGCCCAAACTCGGCCTTCCCTGCAAAAGGCCTCGAAAAGGCCCCCGCATCTCGGCGCAGCCCGCGGCGCACGCCAACTCGCGGGATCTGAGAACTCGGGGAGCCTCCCCCACGCGGATGGTAAAGGATGGACTTACCATGGTGAGGCAGAGGCGAACGCGCGCACCTCGATGGCGGAGAAAGAGAGAGAAGGAAGCGGAAGGACGTATTTAGTGGCACTGACGGGGTGGGGCTATGGGGACTGAGGCGGTGCAGTCACCACCCCCTCCGGGCGGGCCCTCCCCTCGCGCGCTCCCAGGGAGCTGTGGGAACGCGGGCTCGGCCCTGGGAAATGCAGTTCGCTTTGCGCGTCTTCTGTAGGTGGGTTCCTTGGAGTCCTTCAGTGTGCCGGGGCACCTGTTTCGTGGGTGAGGATGGCAGCGATCATAAACATCTAAGCAGAAGCGCTGGGAGGCCGAGGGAGCGGGGTGGGTGGGTCTAACTCCTAGGACTGGGGGAGGGACGGCAAGTCTGAGCGCCAAGGGTTTGCGCCTGCGCCTGGGCTGGGAACGCCTTTGCTGAATTGTTTGAAGTGCAGTAGACCCTGGGACTATACGGTTTTAAACTGTGTGCGTTCACTTACCCTCTGGATCCCGGGTTTCACATCCGCGGACTCAACCAAAACAGTATTTTCCACCCGCGGTTTGGAATCCTATGGTGCAGATGTGGAGAGCCAACCTTATGCATTGGTCTAGGACTGTATGCATTGTTCTACGCCATTTTATATAAGAGACTTTTATCTGTGGATTTTGGTATGGGGGCAGGGGTCCTGGAACCAATCCCCTGGTGGATACCAAAGGGGAACTGCCTTTTGGAGATTCAAAATTTATGCGTGGATTTTTGACTGCGTGGGGGTTGGCCTAACACCCCCCCCCCCCCGTTATTGAGGGTCAACTATAGTGGTCACCTGGCTGGGTGGTGGTGGAAAAAGCAGAACAGCTGGGCAGGGGCTGGACCAGGTGTGCCCTGTAAGCCTACAGACTGCCATAGAGCTGTCTGAGCAAGAGGTTGTCAATCAAGGTTTTAAGGTGAGAAAGTTCTGGACAGAACCATTTTCTTGGTTGCTAGGAAGCCCAGACTGGCTTTGTAGTCCACCTTTGGCAAAATGTACAGGAATGAATGGCAGCATTTTGGATGTTAATGTTCCATTTTCATCTTTTCCCATTTAAAAACAAAGGTAGCTCAGTTGGTTAGAGCATCATCCTGATATGCCAAGGTTGTGGCTTCCATCCCTAGTCAGGGCACATACAAGAATCAACCAATGAATGCAAACATAAGTGGAACAATAAATTGATGTTTCTCTTTCTCTCTAAAAATTATAAATTAAACTAAAAATTATTTTTTGTTAACATAATGCTATGTGAAGATTCAGAGACACTGGTAGGATATCTTAAGCAAATTGTAAGCCATGAGTCAATATATACCCTACATATATACCAACAAGCTCAGTAAACATCAGGCATGATTTCTTTCACTCCTTGTATTGTAACAGGGCAAATAGTGTGTGTGTGTGTGTGTGTGTGTGTGTGTGTGTATATGTATATATATATATATATATATATAGAGGCCTGATGCACAAAATTTGTGCACTCGGGGGTTCCCTCAGCCCAGCCTTCGCCCTCTCACAGTCTGGAAGCCCTCGGGGGATGTCCGACTGCTGCTGCACTCACCAGCCGTGAGCCTGGCTCAGGGCTTCTGCATTGAGCATCTGCCCCCTGGTGATCAGTGCGCATCATAGCGACCGGTTGTTCCGCCATTTGGTCGATTTGCATATTAGCCTGACTGCCTCTGCCTCAGCCCCACCACCATGGCTTTGTCCAGAAGGACGTCTGAAAGGTCTCCTGGTCTAATTAGCATATTACCCTTTTATTAGTGATATATATATATGTGTGTGTGTGTGTGTGTGTATATATATATATATATATATATATATATATGGCTAATATGCAGTGTCCCCTCGGAAGTTCGACTGGGAGACCGGGAGTTCGATTGCTCACTATGATGTGCACTGACCACTGGGGGGCAGCGTGGAATGAAGGAAGGCCCAGGCCGGCAGCCAGGGAAGAGAAGCTCTGGCCAGCAGCTGGAAGGCCCTGATTGGTCCTGATCTCCATCCAGGCCTAGGGACGCTACCCATGCACAAATTTTGTGCACCAGACCTCTAGTTTTAGTATAAAGTTAACACATTTATATGGGTCTACAAACAAAACCAGAGATGAAACATTTACAGTGGTCCAGCTGCTACCCCAGTCTCTCCCCCTTTGTTCCCTCCCCATAGGCTATTTTTCCCCATAGGTAATTTTTATTAGTCGCTGATTTCTCCTATTGTTTCTTTTTGAAAAATATCTGAATCTTTTCATTGTCATTTAATTTCAAATATTAATATCTATTTTAGAATACCCCCGCCCTTCCTAAGCAAAAGTAGCATGAGAGAGCTTGTGAGGTGGAGAGAAGGAAAACCAAAGTGGCACACAGTAGTTGGCTTAGAGCACAGGAATTGAGGAGGTTGAGCAAGCAGCCATCTGCAGAGAATAAAGGCATTTGGATAAAGAGGAAAAGATTTGGAAGATATATGTATTCACTTGAGAAAGTGAACATCCTTACTATGTGTAATATTGGGATAGATTGGGCATAGAGGATTGGGGGAAAAGGTCTTCAGAGAAGGGGCTGCTTGAGGAAAATCCTGGCCGAGAATAGGAGAAAGCAGAGAAAGGGAGCGAGGGAAGGCTTTCCAGAAAGAGAAAACTATATTTGCAACAGTGTAGAGGCTAAGAGCACGTATCTAGACCTTCCCAGGATAGGCTCAGGAGTCTGAGCTTTATCCTGGAGGTGAACAACTGGCAACATCTTTAGCAGAATAATTTTTTGCTTAAAGCCATTTAATATAGATACCCACCCTTGATTCTTTCTCTTATACCCCGATTTCAATCTTATACCCTAGCAGTGGTTCTCAACCTTCCTAATGCCGCAACCCTTTAATACAGTTCCTCATGTTGTGGTGACCCCCAACCATAAAATTGTTTTCGTTGCTACTTCATAACTGTAATTTTTCTACTGTTATGAATCATAATGTAAATATCTGATATGCAGGATGTATTTTCATTGTTCGCGATCCACAGGTTGAGAACCGCTGCCCTATAGCCACAATTTCCAGCCTTTTTCACGTCAATAATTTTACTAAAATTCTGTGGCAAACCAAAAAATGTATTTTGCAGATCTGACAAAAAAAAGTAGGTATATTTTTTATTCATTCACACTGGATGGCTATTGTTGTATTGGTTGTTTTTTGGGGTTTTTTGTGTTTAATCACTATGCTTTAATTATGTTCAATTTGTAACAATGAAAATACATCCTGCATATCAGATATTTACATTACGACTCATAACAGTAGCAAAATTACAGTTATGAAGTAGCAACGAAAATAATTTTATGGTTGGGGGTCACCACAACATGAGGAACTGTATTAAAGGGTCGCGGCATTAGGAAGGTTGAGAACCACTGCTCTAAACAATGTTTGCTCTCTTGTGCTTGTGGAGCCTTGGGGATTCTTGTTGCTCAGGGCTCGCTCTCTTGGCTCCCTGGCATTCTCCCATGTGGCCCACAGCCATATGGACCCCCCCACACAATGGACTAATGGACTGCAACTAGCCTGATGCTGGACTGGACGCTGTTCCAACATGGAACAGAAACTCTGGACACCAGCTCTGATTTTAGCTCTACTGAAACCCCAGCTACACTTCTTCTATAACTAGACTAAGGGAAAGGAGACCATTGAAACCCAGGGATATAATTCCACAGAAATAAAGTTTTCTACTATATCATATCCTCTCATGTAAGTCTCAGAAAATCTCTTTTCTCAAGATACTGCAAGGACTCCATCCCCAACAGCAACAGAGGGAGATGAGGCACATTTTCTCAGGTACATTAGGTTATAATAAGAACTAAGGGCTTACTCTTTTTGCCTCTTTATGCATTTATACATGGGTTATATATTTGATTTGTTTATTATGGATTTTCTGCCACCTTTGAGGGGGGTGAATACATTCTAAGCTAATTGGACTTATACAACAAATTATTAAAAATAGAAAATGTATATGCTTATTACTACACTAACTTAGCTATCCTTCTTATAAACTGAATTTCGGGGGAGGGGAGTTGTAGATGCCTGTTTAAACTATTACTATTATAGAGGTCCCTGAGGTTAACTAAATTTGGTATATTAGAATCATTTGTGAATATGTGTTTTTTTAAAATTTTGTTTTATTGCTTAAAGTACTACAAAGAGTATTATATATGCCTCCTTTTTTCCCCCTTCTTTTTTTTTTTAATTAAATCTTTATTGTTCAGATTATTACATTTGTTCCTCTTTTTTTTCCCCCCCATAACTCCCCTCCTCCCAGCTCCCGCCCCACCCTCCGCCCTCACTCCCCACCCACTGTCCTCATCCATAGGTGCACGATTTTTGTCCAGTCTCTTCCCGCATCTCCCACACCCCTTTCCCCCCCAAGAATAGTCAGTCCATTCCCTTTCTATGTCCCTGATTCTATTATGATCACCAGATTATTTATTCACTTGATTCTTAGATTCACTTGTTGATAGATGCATATTTGTTGTTCATAATTTGTATCTTTACCTTTTTTTTTTTCTTCTTCCTCTTCTTAAAGGATACCTTTCAGCATTTCATATAATGCTGGTTTGGTGGTGATGAACTCCTTTAGCTTTTCCTTATCTGTGAAGCTCTTTATCTGACCTTCAATTCTGAATGATAGCTTTGCTGGATAAAGTAATCTTGGTTGTAGGTTCTTGGTATTCATCACTTTGAATATTTCTTGCCACTCCCTTCTGGCCTGCAAAGTTTCTGTTGAGAAATCAGCTGACAGTCGTATGGGTATTCCCTTGTAGGTAACTGGGTTTCTTTCTCTTGCTGCTTTTAAGATTCTCTCTTGTCTTTTGCTCTTGGCATTTTAATTATGATATGTCTTGGTGTGGTCCTCTTTGGATTCCTTTTGTTTGGGGTTCTCTGCGCTTCCTGGACCTGTAAGTCTATTTCTTTCACCAGGTAGGGGAAGTTTTCTGTCATTATTTCTTTAAATAGGTTTTCAATATCTTGCTCTCTCTCATCCTCTGGCACCCCTATAATTCTGATGTTGGTGCGCTTGAAGCTGTCCCAGAGGCTCCTTACACTATCTTCATATTTTCGGATTCTTTTTTCACTTTGCTTTTCCAGTTGGGTGTTTTTTGCTTCTTCGCATTTCGAATCTTTGACTTGATTCTTGCGTTCCTCTGGTCTGCTGTTGGGTGTCTGTATAATATTCTTTATT